GGAGGGAGAGAGAGAGAGGGGTAGAGAGAGGGATAGAGAGAGAGGGGAAGAGAGAAAGGGCGAGAGATAGAGGGGGAGAGAGGGAAATACATATGTAGACATGTATAAAAATATCGACATCCCACTATGAATATAAATAGAAAGCTAAGTCGGATAACATTTTTCTTACTCTATGCCAACAACCGAATTAACTATTGGCACTTGTAAGCTGGGCATGTAACGAAATACGTCACCGATACAAGCCTTAAAAGCCGGGCTATGAAAGGCAAGTCTCAAGCCACCAGACCCTGAACATTGCCTGTTCACCCTTGACATAGATTTCAGCAGGAGGGGGTCTCAGATAGCACGGTGCTTCATCATTGGTAATGTTGGGATGACGCATGGTAGATGGATGCTTTCCTGTGAGGATCAGAGTCCTTAAATGTTACATCAATTCAATTTCTTGCTTCCCAGATTGTTTGTTTGTTTTGTAAAGATCTCTATTAGTGTTACATCAAATGCACACTATTCATCCTGGAGTCTGTAAGAGTGATGATGTAGCACGGTGCTTTATCATAGGTGATGTTGGGGTGACGCATGGTAGATAGTCGTTAAAGGCTACACCAATTCAATTTCTTGTTTCTGGTTCTGGATATAAAGTACGGTTCTGGATGCTCTTGGACCATGCAGAAGGATGCCGGAGCATTGTTCTGAATAAAGAACTGTTCTGAATGCTCGTGTACCATCCAGAACTATTGCTCAGGAACGGCACGGTAATGGATAAAGCACTATTCTGGCCTAGACTATCCAGAACCATTTCTCCGGCACGGTTCTGCATAAAGCATGGTTCTGGATCTGGACTATTCAAAACAATTGCACGGGTGCGGCTCTGAACATAACAAGGTTTGACTGTAATCACAGTGAACACTGCATGCCCTGAATCAGTTAAACGTAAACAAAGGGCTGTTCCCAGGAGAATAACCCGTGAAAATATCACGCCTTCTGTCACGCAAAGATCCGGTCAGGACATCGGGCAACATCATCATCAATAACTTATACTGTAGATGGACAAAATTAATGAATATAGTCATAAGTAAATCTAGTAAACCTTAGCCAAAGACAAGCATAGACACTTTTAATCTACTTATGTCATGCCCGACTCAATATCTATGTACCTATAGCTAGGCCAATATGTATGTAACGCTTTAGAAAAAAGAGAAAGAATTGTGTCAGACAGAAATGTTTAAATCCATGTCAATACACCATATCGTCATATTTATATAGTTATAATTTCTAGGAATAGACTAGTGTTATTGTCATGACCACATTGTCATTCTTGCCATACATTGCACCATGTACAACTGTCAAGTTCTAAAGATCAGTCATAGCCGGGGACAAAAGACACGTGATGTTGAACAATGGCGTTGATTCCCAGGTTTACCGTGTTGCGGACAGGATCGGTGTCACACTGACAGGCTGTTGGAATGATGAAGTAGCATTGTGCATGGGAGGGGGTTTGCACTTGTCCCTGGCATTCAAAGCTGGTGTGTTACGCTGAAGGGTGGTTATACTGGCTGTGCAGGTACATGATCTGATGTGTTACACCGATGGGCGGTTATACCAGGTATACCTGTCAGATACAGATAAACAATAAACAGATTCAGAAGCTGGTGTGTTACACCAAAGGGCGGTAGGTACAGAATCTGTTGTACACGTGTTATGCCAAAGGGCAGTTACACCGGATATACAGATGCTTTTTACAAAGATTTAAATCTAAATTAGGGGAGAGTCTCGCGAAACAACTTACTGCATCAATATAGCCCAATCTCCCTCCCCTTTCCCCCTGATGTTGATTTAGGGCCCCTGCGTTACAACAATTGCATTGTTTGTGCCATGTAGCGTCACAGATTTTTTGCAAAGATTTCAACCAGAAGCAGGTGGAAACTCACGAAACAACTTACTGCATCACTTTAGCCCCAACCATCTCCCTCCCTCCCCTTTCCCCAAACCCTGATATTGATTTAGGGCCCCTGCGTTCCAACAATGGCATTGTTTGCGCCATGTAGCGTCACAGATTTTTGCAACGATTTAAATCTGAAGTAGTCAAGAGCTTCACAAAACAACTTACTCCATCAGTACAGCCCCATCTCCCTCCCTCCCCTCCCCCCAAACCCTGATATTGATCTTAAACCTTTCTAAATTCATATCTACTGTAATTATTCATGCGTTCTGGTTCATGTCTGCTTTGTACTTGTCTGTTTTAATGCTTTTTGCAAAGATTTGAATCTAAAGTAGTCGAGAGCTTCACGAAACAACTTACTCCATCACTTCAGCCCCAACCATCTCCCTCCCTCCCCTTCCCCCAAACCCTGATATTGATCCTGGGCCCCTGCGTTACAGCAATGGCGCTTCAAGCTAAAACCGTAGCGACACTCCCTACCGCTACTGCAGCAGCACCCAACATCACTGAAAGAGGCCTCCATCCCCTAACATTGATTCAAACGCTGCTAATATTCAACCCTTGCTACTGCAAAAATCAGGAAAACCTTCTGATGAAGCGTTGCTGGTCGTAATTTAGTTGGCCTTGAGAGTTCCTAACGTGTAATTGTGTCATTAACGCGAGCGTTTTCGCCCCGAACACCTGCGTTAGCGGCCGTGCACCAGACGGAAATGTATTCAGAATCCGCGAGCTGAAATCTGTGACGCGTATTTTTTTTACGTACACCAGTCTGGGACAGCGGGGCCAATCGGTCATTGGTTCAATTCTCATGAGGCACAGGTGCATCGGCTGGTGCCATCGACTACAGGGCTAGGGGAGGACCTCCTCATTTGACGCTGGTACCTCGGAGAGACAATAACACGTACGCACGCAGGGCTAGCGAGGGAAAGGAGGAGGGATTTTTTAGTATAGGAGCGCGGGGGACTGTCTGCGAATCGACCGTGAGGGGTTCAGCCATTGTGTGTGTCACCACTTTATCGTCAGTGAGAAAGAGAGATGCCACCAGACGTTGCATGCGGGTTGAAGACGTCTTGAAGATGCAGTGAGAGTGAAAGTGATGCGTAATCCCCCACGTATCAAGACGTCGTCTTCCAGTAGGAGGAGGTTAGCGAAAGGTGTTCCCGTCTGGGCGTCTTGGAATGCGTGCTTCTGTAGCTAGGAGGAGGCCGGCGGTGCCGAATTAGCATGTCAAATATCCTGCCACCACCACGTACTGCAGAAGGAATTCCAAATTTCGGGTGGATGTAACGTTGCGTCTGGACCGGGTAAGAACGGGAAGGAGGAGACGGAGGTTCGTTTATTATTCTCCCATCTTCAGTAATCTGCAAATCGGAGTAACCACTGCAGGGGTTTTATGTGAGGGACTATAAGAAGGAGGGCTGTTTATTAGAGTCCGATCTTCAGTAATCAGTACATCGGAATTACAGTGAGACGGTTTCATGTGAAGGACTGTAAAACACTGCTGCTATAAGCGGAACTGTACCTATGGACGGGTAAAGACAAGAGGAGAAGGAGGGCCGTTTATTATTCTCATATCTTCAGTAATCAGTTGGTTCGAGTATCCACTGCAGGGGTTATATGTGACTGTGAATAGTGCTGCTATGAGCGGAACAGTAACTATGAACGGGAGAGATTTGCTGGTGTTGGTAGGCGCGGCGGCGGCAGGGAAACCATCCCTGAGAGAGATGATGCTAGTTCGCGATTAATGTATTCAGATAGATCTGGTGACGGGTAGTGAGCGGGACTAGTGTGCACGGCATCGGGACTGAGGGGCCGCCACCACGCACGTCTGGTTGGCCCAGAGCAGGGGCGCTGCTTCAGCTGCTCCTGCTGTAGGTGTTTCCTCTTCTCCGACCGTACGCAGACGGGCGGCGAGAAGCAACACCAACGCCGCTACCCCCGCTGTAAGGATGACCGGAGAAAACCAGCACGCGTCGTCCGGAGGGTCCCCGGCCCACCACCGCGGCTCGGTGTCCAAGCAGAGCGCCGTGGTACGCCCGGTGGATCGTCGGAAGTCGGGAGACACGCTCATATTCCTCAACATCGGCGGCTGCAAGTACGAGGTATGGCAGAGCACCTTAGACCAGTACCCGGACACCGTGCTGGGAAGCAAGCTGAGGGATCGGTTCTACGATGAGAAGAAGAACGAGTTCTTCTTTGACCGGGATCCGGGCTTGTTCAGGTACATTTTGAATTTCTACCTAACCGGAACTCTGCACGCCCCCGTTGTGGAAGACACGAGTGCGTTTGATGATGAAATAGGGTACTTCCAAATCAACCCTGATTTCTACATGGGTCTGTGTTGCTACGAGGGATATTTAGATCGAAAGGGTTTCGACATCAAGACGGGGAGGGTGCGTAACTCTTTCGACGAGGAAGAAAAAACCCCGGAAAAGAAGGGGCCCCTCACCATCCGCGAAAATCTTTGGGAGACGGTCGAAAACCCCCAGTCGAGTACCCAAGCGAAAATCTTTTTCTACGTGACCGGTTTTTTTATCGCACTTTCTGTTGGCGCTACTATCATAGAGACAGTGTTCTGTCAGGAGACTGTCAATCCGACATTCGAGGACGAGCTGAGGCTTGCTAGATGTAAGGTGATCTTTACGTGCATAGAGACAGCCTGTGTGGTGGTCTTCACGTGTGAGTACTGCGTGAGATTGTACGCTTCGCCGGAAAGACTCAAATACGCCAAGTCCTTCATGTCGGTCGTGGACGTGATTTCTATATTTCCTTTCTACGCAGGGCTGTGCCTTCCTGAAAGCAATCAATTGCAAGGCGTTTTTGACACCACCCGAGTATTCAGGGTGTTCCGAGTCTTTAAACTATGCAGGTCCTCCCCAGGCATGATTCTCCTAGGCAAGACACTGAAAAAATGCGCCAGTGACTTGAGTTCGCTCGTTATGGCATTGAGTCTACTTATTCTCGTCTTCACGACAATGTTGTACTACATGGAGAAGAATTACGACGGTACGCTCTTCACCTCGATCCCAGCAGGCTTCTGGTTTACTATAGTAACCATGACAACGGTAGGATACGGAGATATGTATCCCTCGGGATTCCTGGGGAAACTGTTAACTGCAGTGTGGGCAGTGTCCAGTGTGATCGTCCTGGCGCTGCCGTTGACCATTCTCGTCGATACGTTCACCAACATCCGGGAATCGATGATGAAACCAACGAGACGAAGAGATGGGGAAGAAGAGTCCAACAACAACAACAAGTCTCCAGAAAAGACGGGGTCCAGTAAGTCTCGTAAGAGCATAGAGACGGTAGAAACTGTAGTAGAGATGAACGTCTTGAATAAAGACCCTACTGCGGTTGTTAAGGACTTGCTACAAGTCGACGTGACGAACGACAAGCGACCCCCGTCTCGTACCCCCAGCGTAGCCTCCGAGGAAAAGACTGAAAAGTCGGAAAAAGCGGAGAAGAATTCCATCACCATAAACGTACCAACAGCCGAGAACAAACCGTCGTCGGAAGTGAGTGAAGAGAACAAGAAGAATACATGCAACACGAGTTCCACCAAGAACGTTTCGGAAAAAGACAAAGACAACAAAAACGCCCCTAGCAACGAAAACGCCCTTAGCAACGAAAACGAAGACAAAAACGTCATAGACACCAAAAACGTACCCAACGAAAACGAAAAGAACGCCAAAAACGAAATCGCGGTTACTCAACCCACTGAGAGTATCAAAACAGGTGGCGATGTCAATAAAAAGAGCGGGCACAACAGGAATAAAAGTTCGAGGAGTTCCAACACCAGTAAAAATAGCGGAGTCTCCACGAACGACTATCCACCGTCCGCGACCGCCACTCTTTCAGACCAAGACTCGACGTCGCAACACTCCATTGATACAAGAGTCTAGCAACTAAAGACATTACAACAACAAGAGGGCAATACAACACAGTACAACACAATTACAACGCAGAAGTCCGGACCTAAGCCAGAACGTTTATAGGTGTGTTACAGCACCCACCAACAGCCCTGCATGAGATAAAAAATGAGACACAAGAAGCCTGAGAGGTGACATGAGGTGAAATTTTATTCCCTGGAACCTAAGATCTGAACACGCGTGTTCGATTGAGGTCCAGAGGTATTTTCCCGGAGGTTGGCGAGCTACGACATGTTTTACAGACAAAGTTTTTCACCGAAAAAAACACCGGGCTTTAATATCGGGCTGTGAATCGACTGGCAAGGAACGGTTGTCAGATTCAACCCTGCCACTTTATTATGGGGCAAATTCTGTCGCAACGTGGACTACACGCGAGTGGAATAAACAATGAAGCGTCGACAGAAAAAATGTACAAAAGGAGGAGTAACGTTTGCTTAAGAAGAAAGGAATGTGTGTGACTACTAAGTCTTCTTCCAATGAATGCCCGTTATTCATTATTCGCTTGAAAGTCAATAATTCGGCAGCCATCTTGAAAAAGAACGCGAGTGATCGATGAACAGGAACTGCTGACAAACAGAAAATATATATTCACGTTTTGTCTGACGCGTAGGAAGAAATTCCGATATTCGGAAAAATTCTACAACGTCGACAACAACAACAACAACACTACGAGCTTCCACCACAACTAAAACAGACTTGGAATTCGCAAATTCACCGGCACTTAATCTGAAACTGCAAACCGTATTACCAGATTGTTCAAGCGTTGCAAACGATGTACAGGAAATGCAAAGATAAAAACGGGGACGTTTGTCAACTCCCAACGCCCCCACGGGCTACTGTGTTAAGAGAAAGACGTCAACCATATCGCAAGAAGCCTGTACACAATCTTGGACATTCAAGATGGCGGATTCTGAAATCGCGTTGTGTGCGGGACTTGGTAACAACCCCACCAAAATATACATCCAACTGTATATAAAAAAAGACGATTAAGGGCAATACGTAGCTGGAGGGAAAATTTTCTACCAAATCTTAGGTAGAGGTTAGGGCAGAAAAAAAGAGTAGACGAAGCTGCATTGAAGGTAGACAGTAGTGTTTATAAATAGCATCCAAAAGCAATATTAAACTTTCAACACCTTGCATGATGAAAAGACCGTGTGATTGTGGATAGAATACAGATAAAGCAGCCTCCAAAATGCGCAGTTCAGTCCATTATCCAAAATCGCCCCCTTCAATCATTGTACATGTTCGTATCTGCCAAACTGATGAATAACACAAAACCATCCATCTGTAGATAACGTGTCCCAGATCACACATTTCCACCACCTTTATAATACTGAAAAAACAAAGAACTGAATAGTAGCACCAGATTCAAATCAAAGAAATGCATAAAATTAGTGTAGAATATTGAACAGGAATTGCAACGAACTCTAGATATTATACTAAGAGGATAGGTAAAATGCATTCAGTTCGATCGCAGTAGAAGCGTTACCCTTTAATGCACGATTGCTGTGGAAAAAACAACAACACTTCTCTTACCAGAGGAGGTCATCCATTGTGAAATTACATGAATCATGTCAACACGATGTTAGCTAGAAAGGAAATTTTATTCCCTGCTCTCTCTCTCACATTAAAACACACAGTGCAATATTGTAGATATCGATCCATTAGAGAGACAAAAATCCTGCTTCCCCGAGGACTTTATTATGATAATAACATGTACCAATATTCGGAGAAATGTCTTCTTCGGGTTAAACCTACCTACGAGGAACAAATGATGGATTCTGCTTCTAAAAACTTCACACTGTGGACCTGAATGACACCATGTATATACAAAACATCTGGATGTACTGTGTGAGATTTATTCCCGATGGAACGCTTCTTCCCATGGGATGCTGACGTCACGCGATTCGGGGTGGAATGGACAAACATTTGCACGTAATTATCCATATCTGACTACGTCATCGGACGTTCGAAAAGTCCATGAACATCAAAGAACTGCCGCCTGCACTTGTCATGCATGGAAGAAACGTACTCAATAAGAAATATGCAATATTATAAACTTACTAGGGACGTACGCATTGGAGACTATGAAAGACTGACACACTATCACAAAAGCCGCCATTTTTTACATTTCGCATGGGATTTAAACCCGTCATCGTCCGTTGTGTTGGGAATCGAACCCTGGACCCCCTGGGGGATTGCACCACGCTGAACTAAGGTAAATCACTATTGAGATAAGGTATACATATCTCTCTACCATCGTACCCGCTGCTCGCCCCGATTGCATAAATTTTCCTGCCGCTGCCCCATCCGAAGGGTCATTATTAGTCTCCACCAGACTTCTTTTGCAGGCTGAATAAATCGTAGAAATCGGTATTAAAAGGCTTTTTATTGGCGAGAGAAGACATCTCACAGGCTTCTTGCAGGCCAATTTGATCGTCGATGGCCGGCTACCTTCTCTCGCCAATTCATACCATTTTTAGGCCGATTTCTACGATTTATTCAGCCTGTAAACGAAGTCTGGTGGAGACTAGGTCGTAATGCTATTACCATAGCAGTGGAAGCATTTTCGGCGACCGCTAAAGGATAGGTCATTAAAAATTCAGGAGCTGCACATATGCGGCCTTTTCTGCATGCGAGCAATCTTCGGGCGTGGTTGAAGCCACACCAATTTAATTCGTTGTTTCTTTTTTGGTTCTAAATCAACTGCAAAATGCTCAATGAAAGACATATTTTGGCCCCAACGGTTGAAGAAAGTCATTTTCTTCCTAGGTGTTAAAAGATTTTCAATGCAACAGTGCAATTTTGTTTCATTAAAAGTTCCAAATCTATTGCTTTAATTATACACCAGCCTGGTATGTTCACTTCATGGCTTATATTGTAACATTTCCGGCTATCATGGGCTGCCTTGGCCTGTTTTTGTTCGCCCTGTGGCTCCGTAATTTTTCTAAAAAAATCCGAGAAACAACAAATTAAATTGGTGTAGCCTGATAATAACTTACATCATCCACACCTGACTTACTCTATTCAATCTGGCACAATGCCGCATGCATGAATTATTTGTGAACCCAACGCAATTTCGCAAAAAAAGTTACGTAATGTCATTATCATGCCAAACATGATAAATAGCTCGGTAAAAGATAAGAATATCACACAGTGTTTACATATCAATACAAGCACTTTTGCACTTTTTGACAAACCACCATGCAAATGTTTAAAAACGACCTTCATTGTCAAACAGAACAGTACACATGGTATTCGTGTCAATATGAAAAATACAACAGTTACGAAACGAATTACAACTTTTTGGTGAAATAGTATGAGGAAGGGCGATGGTAGAGGAATGTTATGTTGCCTGAAAACACTGCATGCAATTTTATACGGACTACATTGTTACTATAGGTACAACTTAGAGGTACAGTCATTACAAAAAGAAAAAGGAACTATCCAATGACTTCCACGAAGATGGAAATGTTATGTACAAAATTTAATATAAATGTGAAGAATATATGTACCCGATAGCATTTAAATAAGCATCTATAGTGAGTGCTTTAAATATTTGGTCCTTCAATGATAATAATTATCAATCGTTAAAAACCGTGCGATATATTCAGTTGACCAATAATCAGAATATGCAATTATATGGTTTTCAATCATCACCATTGCCACCAAGGAAAATATTTCCTTCATCATCTAGCATGTGTGTACTAGTAGGTGGTGTTAAAAATTATAATGAAATACAAAAATTAAGAGAACGTTTTGTGCTTTCCCTTGATTTCAGTCACTTGTTTTTAACTAAGAGAACGTTTTGTGCTTTCCCTTGATTTCAGTCAGTAGTTTTTAATGTTTAGTAGTAAAGCCTTAGTTAAGTCTAGGTTTTTAGTACTAGTATAATCAATGAGGTTACTAGTATTTATTTAATCTTCTTTGTCTGATGAGCTACTATCCATTCCATTTTAACGGTAAGTCGTAAAGCAGCATAGGTAATGTTAAATTGCAAAACACTCAGTCGTCAGCCATTTTAAGTAAGAAATGCTGTCCACGTTTCAATCTATGTTAACGTTTTACTCCGTAGTTTACAAATTTCATAGCGAATCCTTAGCAATGTCGACATTCAAGATATGAATCAAATGAGGTTCCGTTACCTAAAACCGGACTTTGAGCGTTTCGTGCAAACGTTTTAGTCACTTCTTTAAATATATTTCCATTGGGATCCTGAGTAACACATTGATTTAAAACATCAAACCGCTAAATCGTTGTTCAGCAAATTTTCAGCCTTTTAACTAGAAAGCCACATGACTGATAGCTGAGATGTCAAAATAGTTGGTCACAACGTGAAACCTCGAAAATACCTTATACCATAAAAGAAAGCTGGTGTTCCCAAATGGTAGGGGCCCCCAAAGGATTACGTGATCTCATTACATGAGAAAGCGTTGTTCAGCAAATTTGCAGTGTTTTATCTAGACTGGTGATATGTTATGAATAGTAACTGTGGTAACAATGTGTAACCTCGAAAATACCCAAAACCATACAAGAGAAGCTGGTATTTGGCTATACCGCCAAATGGTAGGGACCTTTTTGTGTCTTTTAGATAGAAAGCCACATGACTTTTAACTAGGAACCCACATGACTGATAGCTATGTATATATAGGGGAGATGTCATAAATAGTAGCTGTGGTCACAATGTGCAACCTCGAAAAATACCTAATGCCATAAAAGGAAAGATGGTGTTTTGCCTATACGGCCAAATGGCAGGGGCCCATTTGTGTCTTTTAACTATAAAGCCACATGACTTTTAACTATAAAGCTACATGACTGATCGGTGAAATATCATAAATAGTAATAGTAGCATGTGTGGTCACAATGTACATCTTGAAAATACCTAATGCTATAAAAGAGAAGTTGGTGTTTGGCTATACCGCCAAATGGTAGGGGCAATTTGTGTCTTTTAACTATAAAGCCACATGACTTTT